ACACCATCATCTAAGGAGGAGGAAACACACCCGGTGAACAGAATAAAACCATGCTGGTCCAGAGTCTTAATCTCTCCAGTAAAGAAAAAATGTGTGTGTGTGTATGTGTATATACACACATATATATATTAAAATAAATAAATAAATAAATAAATAAATAAATAAATAAAAATAAAAAAAGATAATTAAGAAATGAGGCTCAGTTGAGCTTAATGTCCATAAAAGGCTGCTTTAAGAGTGTGAGCTTGATGAAATCCTGGCTCCTGGCCACTCCACTATAAGACTACCGCGAAATGGCAGTTTCCAGAGTCTACTCATGAAAAGCAGTTGCCCAGAGTCACATGGATAATCTCAACAATCTCCTGTTTCCAGAGAGATTTTGTGGGTCCAGATCCAACATCCAGCTGTGATTCACCTCACAAATGCTGTCCTGCTAACCAGCAGGATGTAAGCAAGCTACGGTGCTTATAAAAAGTCTCAAGACTTCAGGTTGTAATGTTCTACAGTATGGAAGCAAAATGGCCTATTTAAGTTTGAACAGTAGCCTGACTTCAGGATATACATGAGGAGTGGGAATGTGTATCAATGGAGAGCCTAATTATATTCTTATGGTCTGGATAGATTCACATGAGAATAGATGGTCTATTAATACGTCTTTCCCCCAAAATCAGATTAGTTCCATCCCTTTTGACATTCCAGAAGTCCCTCAAGACCCGGTTATGTCACCAGACCTGGGGCTCCCAGGGACCGGGAGACATGCTCAGATGGCTCCATTGCTGAGGTGGCAATTCTTGTTCTCTTTTTCCCTAGGATTTATATATTTTGTTTTTATATTATCTTTTAATATTGATTCTTGTATTTTTATACTGAGCATTTTATGTATGTGTTGTTTTATCAGACTGTTGTATGCCACCCGCAGTAGCTTTTTGTGAGATGAGCGGTCATACAAATTTGATTAATAAATAATAAAAATAAAATAATGGGGTGAAGGACTTAATTAACATAATTGAGCATTATAGAGTACCAAGAAGCAATCAACCAGCCATCAATAATACCACTTCTACAAGAAAGGCCTGAATTCATGCCATCGCTCAGGAAATCCGGAGGAAAAGCAAGATCTTAATGGCCTTCCAAATGTTTGCAAGGTTGGACCAGGGGTAAGTTGTTCAGAGAAAGTGCAACAACACCCTGATGCTAATACTCCTAGGAATCAAACCCAGAGTAAGCCCTCCCTTCCAGCTCATCTTGGGTGGGCAATGCTACCTGGAATAGGTTCTGTCACATATCCAGATGTAGTCAGATCCAGGTCCTGAGATACATACAGTTTTAAAGTTGACAATTGGCACCCAGAAGTTTTAAAGTTGACAATTGGCACCCTTGAATTGTACCCAGAAGTTAACTAGCAACCAATGCAGCTTCAGACAAATCAGGTTGTGCCCCTAACTGCTGAGGCTAGTCTCTCTGTACCAGATGTAGCTTTCAAGTGGTCTCCAGGGGCAGCCCCACAAACATAATGTGCAGTGCAGTTAGTCCAACTGACAGTTCACCAAGGCATAATTGACCATGAGCTCCCAATCCAGAACCTGATTGCCTTCTGATCCAGAAATGGCCTACAAATGGCTTTGCAAATTAAAACACATTACCAGGTGTTATGGATAACAGATTACTCCTAAAATTCTGGGGTAAAGAAGCAATGGCTTGACACTCTAGTCCTGAAATAGAGAGACTGTACCTCAGTTCTATCAGCTGCCTTGAGCAAAAGACACAGCTTTTAAGAGCAGAAGTAAAAAGAAATGTGATGGTCACTATTGGAGGAGTAAGCAACTTCTCTTTAACCTCAGAGTTACTCCTGAATATATCTGAATAAAACTGTTTGTTAAAAAAAAAGATGAAAAGCAGAGTGGGCAAGGGATATAATCTATTTATGTCATTTTATTAAAATTATTTATTGCAATCAAGAAATCAATGGAATACATGAGAATACTTCTATATCTTTTTTTTTTTCATTATGAAGTGCTTCCACCAAGCTATGTTTGTTGCACCAGCATATTCTTGGCTAGAACTAAGCTTATGGACTTTTTAACTACACGCAATCACATAAGATGTGCCTTATTCTATAGCTTATTTGAGATAGCAGGAGCTAAAGCTCAGATTTATCACCAAGATAACGGAATTCAGCAGGCACACCGGTATATGATTCTGGACAGATAAACCAATCCACACTTGCCAGGTTTCTGCCAAAGCAACTAGAGTCAACCAAGAATAGCATTAACACACTTTCTTTCACTCACCCTATTATGGAGGTTGTGAAATCTGAAGTGGAGGGAGAGGTTTAAAGTCCTATGTGTGCCCACTGGTGCATAAAAAACATTCCTTTCACCTTGTATATCTGTCCATTTACTGTGGATGCAAAAGCTTCGACTTTTATGCAATCCAAGGACCTCCTATATGGGAAATTGGGACAATTTTATTCTCAATTACTATCTTGTCAAAGAAATTGATTTTTGCACACCATGATGCCAATAACTATGAGCTGTGACCACTTTCTGGCAAGGAGATGGCTGACTGTTGCAATCCAGGGATTGCAAATCAAGGCCTCTTGTGGCAAAGTGTAACCGTATCCCTAGCCCGCCATCCGTCACCATGTCCCCCCCCCAAGGGGTACGGGTGGGAGAATTAATGGTCCTTAAACTTGGCTTTTCTCTTCTCCACAAAGGCACTCATCCCCTCTTTCCGGTCTTCCGTGGCAAAGGTGGAGTGGAACAGCCTCTTTTCCAGCCGGTTGCCCTCGGTTAGGCTCAGCTCGAAGGCGCCGTTGACCGCTTCCTTGGCCATGGCGACCACCAGCTTCGAGTGGCGGGCGATCTTCTCCCCGCAGCTGATGGCCTCGTCCAGCAGCTTCTCCACCGGGCAGACTTTACTGACGAGGCCGGCCAGCTTGGCCTCCTGGGCCGAGATCCGCTCCCCGGTCAGGATCATCTCCATGGCCAGCGACTTGCCCACCGCCCGGGTCAACCGCTGCGTCCCGCCGGAGCCGGGGATGGTGCCCAGGAGGATCTCCGGCTGCCCGAACTGAGCCTTCTCGCCCGCGTAGATGATGTCGCACATCATGGCCAGCTCGCAGCCGCCGCCCAGCGCGTAGCCATTGACGGCGGCGATGACCGGCTTCTGGACGCTAGCCAGGCGGTTCCAGTGGCCGAGGAAGTTGCCACCGTAGCACTCCTGGAAGGTCCGGTGCTGCATCTCCTTGATGTCGGCGCCGGCGGCGAAGGCCTTCTCGCTGCCGGTGAGCACGATGGCGCGCACGCCCGGGTCCCGCTCCAGGGCGTCCAGCGCCTCGCTCAGCTCCGCCATCAGCTCGTCGCACAGCGCGTTCCGGGCCTTCGGGCGGGTCAGCTGGACCACCGCCACCCTCTCCCCGGCCCCCCTCTTCTCCCCCAGCAGGTGCTGGAACTGCGCTGCCGCCGCG